CGTGGTCTTCTCCTTTGCTATGTTGAACGCAACATTGCGAGTCAACGTCAATCTGATAACTCCGAGGGCTTGTCTATCTAGAAGGTTCCACTCTTCTTCCTTCTTAGAATCCGCCTTCTTCCTTGATAGTGGTTGATACAGATTTTTCTGATACAGATAATCCTCTATCTGCATTTTCTAGAATCCGAAATCTGTTCCATCAAATTTCTCAAGTCTCATTTTTCCTTCATCTGCGGCCATGGCTCCCACTTGAATCTGACTTCCTCTAGATTGTTTCACGCTACGATACCAGTTGTTGGGAATTATCCGCCGGGGCTACGCAAAACCCCTAAAACAGTAGAAACACAGTATAGAGAAAAGTACATTAAGATTTAACGAGGTTCAACAACTGTCTACGTCCTCGGGAGCCATACAACGTCCTCGGGAGCCACACAGATAATTTCTTATTAATCAAACAAGAAATTACAATTTAAGAGCAGATCTCAAACTGAGATTTCTCAATTGAACACTGTAGCTACAGTGTTAATAATTAAAGGGAATAAACCCTTTCAATTTTCTCTCTCTCTCTTAAATCCCTTTTCAATCTCCCCTCAATACACGGTTGAGAGCTGGAGATGAAAAACCAAAATCGCTGCTGCGATTTCAAGGTTGGAGAAGAGGAACGCTGCTGCGTTTTGTGCCGCCGCCAGAGAAAAAATCAGAGGAGGAGAAGCAACAAACCCTAGGGCATCGGGGTTTGCTTTTATAGGCGAATACGATGGGCTGGCGACAGCCTGTCGCCAGCGCACAAGCTGGACGCGAAGGTCGGAGCGTCTGGACGCGATCGTCGGAGCTTGGACGCAAGGGTCAGTGTCCCAAATGCGAGGGTCGGTGTCCCAAACGCGAGGGTCGGATCCAAAAAACGCCAAGGTCGCGTTGCCCACACACCGAGGTCGGGAATTGCCAAAATTCGAGCTCGCCTGCTCGAGCTTCACCTGAAGCTTTCGCCGTCGACTTCGCCTGAGTCGACGCCCACGCTCGCCTGCGTGGTTCTCAAGCTCGTCAGAGCTTCGCCGGAGCTCCTCGTTGGAATTGAGGTTTGATCTACACCCCATTCTAACAATCTCCCATTTGGAGATCAAACCGCCATCAACAGACTATCTCATCAAGCTCCTCTCCTGTGTGGCTCCGCCCTCATCATCTATGCATGAAGGTCAACTGAAGTTACGCACAACTCCAGTTTTTGAACTGTCACCGTCTTTGTTAACATGTCTACTGGATTCTTACTTCCTGGAATCTTTTCCAGTTTTAACACGTCATCTTCCAACAGAGATCTGATGAAGTGGTACCGAAGCGCAATATGCTTCGTTCTAGAATGAAATGCTGAATTCTTCGCCAAGTGTATCACACTCTGGCTATCACTGTGCAAAACATTCTTCTCCTGTTTGAATCCCAGCTCTGTTAACAAACCCTGAAGCATGCTGAATTCTTCGCCAAGTGTATCGCACTCTGGCTATCACTGTGCAAAACATTCTTCTCCTGTTTGAATCCCAGCTCTGTCAACAAACCCTGAAGCCATATCATCTCTTTACTGGCTTCAGTCACTGCAACATACTCAGCTTCTGTAGTGGATATGGTAACAATCTTTTGTACCTGTGACATCCAACTAACAGCTGTAGTTCCAACGGTGAATACATAGCCGGTGGTGCTTCTTCGGCCAACGGTGAATACATAGCCGGTGGTGCTTCTTCGGTGATCGACTTCACCGCCGAAGTCTGCATCTACGCACCCTTGCACTTCTACCTCTCCCTTACCAAAGTGCAAACACTTCTGTGTGGTGCCTCGTAGATATCTCAGAATCCACTTGACCGCTTCCCAATGAGCTTTTCCTGGATTCGACATAAACCGGCTGACCACTCCCACTACATGGCTAATATCTAGTCTCGTACATACCATTGCGTACATCAAGCTTCCGATGGCTGAGGCGTAAGGAACCTGAGCCATACTCTCTTTCTCTTCTTCTGACTGAGGAGACTGGTCCTTCGATAGACAAAAATGGCTGGCCAAGGGTGTGCTCACAGGCTTGGCGTCGCCCATGTTGAATCTCTGCAAAACACGGTTGATGTACTCCGTCTGAGATAACTGCAAGAGACCTCTCTTCTTATCTCTCGTGATTTGCATTCCAAGGATCTTCTTCGCTGGACCCAAGTCCTTCATGTCAAACTCCTTTGACAGCTGCTGCTTCAAACTCTTGATATCTTTCATATCTGCTCCTGCAACCAACATATCATCAACATACAGCAGTAGGATGATATAGCTGGACTGATATCTTTTGAAGTAGCAACAGTGGTCGGCGTTGCACTTCTGGAAACCTTCCTTGTGCATAAAGCCGTCAAACTTTCTGTACCACTGCCTTGGGGCTTGTTTCAGGCCATACAAGCTCTTCTTGAGTCTGCACACCAGGTTCTTCTTCTTTTCTTCTGAGAAACCTTCTGGCTGGTGCATGTATATCTCCTCTTCTAGATCTCCATGAAGAAACGCCGTCTTCATGTCTAACTGCTCGAGATGAAGATCTTCAATTGCTACAATACTCATCACGATCCTGATAGTATTTAGCTTTACCACGGGAGCGAAAATATCGGTGTAGTCAATTCCTTCCTTTTGTTGGAAACCTTTGACAACTAGCCGGGCCTTATATCTTCTGGAACCATCATGCTCTTCTTTCACCCGGTACACCCATTTGTTGTGGAGTGCCTTCTTACCCGTGGGCAACTCAGCTAGTTCCCACGTCTGGTTTGATATGAGAGACTTCATCTCATCTTTCATTGCAAGCTCCCACTTGCTCGCATCTCCACACTGACAAGATTCATCAAAGCTTTCAGGCTCCCCACCATCTGTCAACAACAGATAGTTCATGTATCTCCTGTTGGGTACAGGAGGACGAGAAGATCTTCTTAATATCGGAGCTGGTGCGTCGGGCTCCTGCGCACCATCTTGTCCAACAGGCTCTTCTTGCTGAGGACCCTCTGCATTGGGTTCTTCCGAGAGGTTACTCGGGACATCATCTGCATCTACAAATATTGACTCGCTCTCTGAGTCATCAGTCTTGTGCATGTCCTTGTACATCACCTTCTCGTTCTTGTTTTCGTTGTCCCAAATACGTTAGCCGAACTCATCTTCACCATAGCCGATGAAAGTGCATTTCTTTGACTTGGGATCAAGCTTATTCCTGCCTTGATCACTAATATGCACGTAAGCTACACAACCGAAAACTTTAAGATGTGAGAGTTTTACCTCCTTTCCGCACCATACCTCCTCTGGTATTCTGTGCTCTAATGGAACCGATGGACCTCGGTTGATCAAGTAAGCTGCTGTGTTGATTGCTTCTGCCCAGAACTGCTTCGGTAGGCCTGACTGTACGCGAATGCTTCTGGCTCTCTCTGTCAATGTTCGGTTCATCCGCTCAGCTACACCATTTTGTTGAGGCGTGCCGGGCACGGTTCTCTCAATTCTGATCCCGTGCTCATAGCAGAACTTCTTGAATCCGGTGTCTTCATACTCACCGCCATTGTCGGTCCTGAGTTTCTTTATTCTTAAACCGGTCTCATTCTCGACCATAGCTTTCCATCTCCTGAAAGCTTCAAATAATTCTGACTTATGCTTCAGAAAGTAGACTCATACTTTCCGAGAGTGATCATCGATAAAAGTCACGAAGTAGTGTTTTCCACCAATGGACGCGGTGGTTGTTGGTCCCCACACATCTGAGTGAACGAGCTCTAACTTCTCTTTCCTAGGGGTTCTGCCTCTTGTCTGAAAGCTGACTCTATTTTGCTTTCCGAGTATGCATTCTTCACACATATCCATCTCTATTGACTGCAGTCCTGGGAGTTTTCCCTTTGTGTGCATAATTTTCATCCCCTTCTCACTCATATGACCGAGTCTCTGGTGCCACAGCTTTGAAGTCTCATTGCCTGCTGCAACTGAGATCAAACAACGTGCACCTGCTGTCATATATAGGGTATCAGTCTTCTTGCCTCGGGCAATTGCCATTGCGCCCTTTGAGATCTTCCAATCATCTCCATGGAAGGTCATGGTGTATCCTTCGCCATCCAACTGACCTACGGATATTAAGTTCTTTCTCAGGTCGGGAATATGCCTGACATCCTTCAGCTCCCATACTGACCCGTTCAACTTAATTTTCACCACGCCTTTGCCCACAATAGCACATGGTTGATCATCACCAAGATATACGTATCCAAGATTTCCGGGAGTATACTTCTCGAAGAATTCTTTCTGAGAGGTAGCATGGAACGACGCTCCTGAATCTAACACCCAAGATTCCTCCTTGCTCTCTAAAGAGCATATCAATGTGTCGTCTCCTCCTGAAGTGGAAGTGACATTCACCTCTGCCTTCGCCTCCTTCTCTTTCTGTGCACTCTTGCACTGATTCTTGTAATGCCCGGTCTTTCCACAATTCCAACACTCGATAGCCTTCGAGCTGTTGCTTGGATTCCTTGATTTGGACCTCCTGTCCTTTGATCTACCTCTGAAGTTTTTGCCTCGTCCGTTCCCTCTGGTTGAATTTCTACCTCTTGACTCTGTATGCAATACTGAAGAGGTTGTAGCTTCACCCGTCTCTCTCCGTCGGATCTCCTCACTGAGAACCAAATCACGAACGTCGTCGAACTTCAACTTGTTGTTTCCCGACGAACTACTCACTGCCGTGACTGTAGCATTCTAACTCTCTGGTAGGGAAGACAAAAGTATCAACGCCCGAACTTCCTCATCAAACTCAATCTCAACTGAACTCAATTGGGTTGTGACCGTGTTGAGTTCATTAAGGTGTTGTGCTACTGACGCGCCTTCCGCCATTTTCAGATTGAATAACCGCCGCATCAAATGAACTTTGTTCGCGGCTGATGGCTTCTCATACATGTTTGAGAGTGCTGCCATAAGACCCGTCGTGGTCTTCTCCTCCGCTATGTTGAACGCAACATTGCGAGTCAACGTCAATCTGATAACTCCGAGGGCTTGTCTATCTAGAAGGTTCCACTCATCTGCCTTCAAAGAATCTGGCTTCTTCCTTGATAGTGGTTGATACAGATTTTTCTGATACAGATAATCCTCTATCTGCATTTTCTAGAATCCGAAATCTGTTCCATCAAATTTCTCAAGTCTCATTTTTCCTTCATCTGCGGCCATGGCTCCCACTTGAATCTGACTTCCTCTAGATCGTTTCACGCTCTGATACCAGTTGTTGAGAATTTAACGCCTAAATCCCTAATGCAACAGAAACGCAGAATAGAGAAAAGTACACAAGATTTACGAGGTTCGGCAACTGCCTACGTCCTCGGGAGCCACACAGTCAATTTCTTATTAATCAAACAAGAAATTACAGATCAAGAGCAGATCCCAAACTGAGATCTCTCAAATGAACACTGTAGCTACAGTGTTAATAATCAAAGGGAATAAACCCTTTCAATTTTCTGTCTCTCTCTTACATCCCTTTTCAATCTCCCCTCAATACACGGTTGAGAGCTGGAGATGAAAAACCAAAATCGCTGCTGCGATTTCAAGGTTGGAGAAGAGGAACGCTGCTGCGTTTTGTGCCGCCGCCAGAGAAAAAATCAGAGGAGGAGAAGCGACAAACCCTAGGGCATCGGGGTTTGCTTTTATAGGCGAATACGATGGGCTGGCGACAGCCTGTCGCCAGCGCACAAGCTGGACGCGAAGGTCGGAGCGTCTGGACGCGATCGTCGGAGCTTGGACGCAAGGGTCAGTGTCCCAAATGCGAGGGTCGGTGTCCCAAACGCGAGGGTCGGATCCAAAAAACGCCAAGGTCGCGTTGCCCACACACCGAGGTCGGGAATTGCCAAAATTCGAGCTCGCCTGCTCGAGCTTCACCTGAAGCTTTCGCCGTCGACTTCGCCTGAGTCGACGCCCACGCTCGCCTGCGTGGTTCTCAAGCTCGTCGGAGCTTCGCCGGAGCTCCTCGTTGGAATTGAGGTTTGATCTACACCCCATTCTAACATTTCGATCTTTCGATGGTTCCATTTGGAGCCGGCACAGAGGAAGAGTATCTCAAACAAGAGCGCAAGTGTGGATTCAGGTCCTTTCATCTATAAACTTTCAGATCAAATACGTGAACAATTTACTGTCGTAACATTTGATCTAATCTTAGTAATGCTATATTTGTTAATAGAGTTGCAATTTCTAGTAAATCTAGTTGCTATGAATAATCATGCGGTGATAGACCTAACGCAGAGACCCTATCAGAAGCCAATGAACGTATACACTTGGGCGATCTCAACAATATTCATTCCTATCGGAGCGAAAAATAACAATACAACACAAACTTTGTATGTACTCCCATCTCGAATACTAGTGATACGATACGCTACGATCCTTTTCAGGAACTGTCGCGTGTCAAAAAACCCAATGAAAATGATTAATTTCAACATTTTACATAACTTACTTGATGACCTGCATTGCCAGGATTTTATGTTAAATCCAATTAGAAAACAAAAGAAAACAATCTTATAACAGCCCAACAACAAATGTGCATAAACCCCAATCCTTTAATCTTTTAACAACTAATCCAGATAGCAACCTGGCAACAATAGTTCATGACCGTTATCTCCCGCCGGCACTCAAAAATTTTGAATTTTTTTTTTCTCCTTCTCTTGGCTCTGTTCAATTGTCCTACCCGATCTTTGCAAACTCAGCCAGTGCCCTCCCCTTGTCAATAGAAGCAATATCTTTATTGGCCTATCCCCATTGTTGTTTCCTCTCATTTCCCCTACTAATACAAATCCTGTACCTATCAATTCCAACCCATTTGCGCTCCTCAATGGAGAATATTCATTCTTGGATCCTCTGTATCTCTCTCCTCCTCTTGATCTACTCTTCAACCTCTGAAGAAGACAGTATCAAGCGCTCTCTCATTGCCTTCCTCGAAAAACTCTCCCCTTCAAACCCCCGTATTGCTCAAGATCTTCGTTGGAATTTTTCAACCAATCCTTGTGTTGATCGATGGAGAGGAATCGGTTGCAATAATCGAAACACTTCAGTACGAAGAATAGTACTTGAAGATTTAGAACTCGGAGGATCAATTGATGCTAGTCTACTCTGCAAAGCTAAGTCTCTTGTAGTCCTTAGCCTTCAGAATGATAACCTTCAAGGGAATCTGCCACCTGAAATCTCCAATTGCAGTCAACTTACGCATATTTTTCTCGATAGAAATCGACTTTCAGGAAATTTACCCTCCTCTCTATCTTCTTTCAATAACCTGAAGAAGTTCGATGTCTCTGATAATGATTTTTCAGGCGAGGTTCCCAAAGGCCTAGGCAAGATTTCAGGCTTAGTATCCTTCCAGGTTCAGGACAACAAACTGAACGGTACAATACCCGAGTTTGATTTCAGTAATCTTCAAGAATTCAATGTCTCCAATAATTTTTTCTCCGGTCCAATCCCTAAAGGCGGTGATCGCTTTGGCCTCAGTAGCTACTCCGGGAATTTTGGCTTCTGTGGAGGACCATTTGATGCAATTTGCTCTTCGATTCCTGCTCCATCCCCTCTTTCAGAAGAGAACTCGAAGAGTGAAGGCGATAAGGCCATTCTATTCTCAGGTTATATCCTGCTAGGCCTTTTTCTCCTAGTATTCATCATGTACATTCTTGTTAAGAGAAAGAGGACCCAAAAGAAAAAATCAGGAAATGCAAAGGAATCAAGTACTTCAACCGAACAAAAGGCTAGTAGATCAGAGTACTCGATCTCATCAAATGAAGGTAGTGCTGTTGCCACAACAGGCTCAATGTCTTTGATAGTATTGAAGAATCCAGCAGTGAAGGAGTTGAAGTTTGAGGAGCTACTGAAAGCTCCAGCTGAGTTATTGGGAAGAGGGAGATTCGGGACTTTGTATAAGGTTATGATGAGTGATGGGAATTTGCTTGCAGTTAAGAGGATCAAGGATTGGACAATATCGGCACAGGAGTTTCAGAGGAGGATGGAGAGGTTGGATAGAGCAAAGCATCCCAGAGTTCTTTCAGCGATTGCGTTTTATTGCTCGAAGCAGGAGAAGCTGGTGGTTTATGAGTATAAGCCTAATGGGAGCCTGTTTAAGCTTCTCCATGGTATGTCTTCTTTCGCATTCTTAATATTGAATAAGCAACCGTAATTTAAGTTTTTTTCTTATTTGAGGATATGGGCTGAAGAAGAACTCTGATACTAATGAGATAGGATTATGGCCATGTTGTTTTTCCTAATAAGACGTGTGCACGTAGATATTCGAAAAAAGATCTTTACAAATTGATTACTGCTCTATGAAGCTCTCTTGACCATAAACCAAAAAACTCACAGAGTTGATGTTAGCTTGGTATACATTTTTAGTTCAGACTGCTTAAAGTTTTTGGACAAAATGGTTCTTGATCAGAGTACACTGAAAAGCACTTTCTTTTTCATCTCTGTTTGGGATAATTTAGTCATCTGATCGCGCATGATTTTCACATGAGACATTAGTTTAGGTTTGGGGGATATCTGACAGAAGTTTTTGGAGGTTAAAGTGACTTTTCCAAACTTTATATGGGTTATGTCAATTTTTATTTTTTATTTTTTATGAGGGCCTTAACCCATTCTATTAAGAGAAGAAGGTGTAGAGGATGTACAAGAGTTGGTAGAGAAGGTAGAGATTACAAGTTATAGAAGGATGAAGATAATAAAACTAACTACAACGTGATCGGTGTGAGAGGCAAAATTCATCCATAAATAAATTTAGGCATGGAAGATGATGAAAAAAAATCTTAACAAAGCCACACGGATCTCAAACTGCAGGTAACCAAGAGAACTGCACATTTGATTGGAACAGTAGGCTAAGCGTAGCTGCAGGCATCGCAAAGGGCATGTCATTTATGCACAGAGACCTACAAGAGGTCGGTATAGGCCATGGCAATCTCAAATCCTCCAACATCCTAATGGACACCAACATGGAGCCCTGCATCAGTGAATATGGTCTCCTTGCAATCCCGAGGCAAACCAGCCTCAACAACGGTCGAAAATCAATTAAGCCCATAAATGACACAGCCCTCAAAGATGATATTTTCAGCTTTGGTGTCATCCTTCTTGAGTTACTTACCGGAAAAATTGTTCAGAATAATGGTTTTGATTTGGCTCAGTGGGTGCATTCTGTGGTGAGGGAGGAATGGACAGTTGAAGTTTTTGATAAGGGACTGCTCTCTGAAGGAGTGCCTGAAGATAGAATGGTGAAGCTTCTTCAGATTGCATTGAAGTGCATATACAAATCTGTCGATGCTCGACCAACTATGAGCCAAGTTGCCGAGATGATACATTCATTGAAGGAAGAAGAGGATAGGTCTGTTGTGTCTGAAATTGATTCAAGAGATACTTAAAATTAGGGAGTCTATTTTCATATTGTCATGGAATTTATGTATATGTTCCGTTTGACTATTATTATTTGCTAGTGTATATGTGTTGGTCACATATGAGGTATATGTTCCGTTTGACTATTATTATTTGCTAGTGTATATGTGTTGGTCACATATGAGGAGGTGGAAAAACATTGTTTATTTGTTACACTTATTATTTGCTAGTGTATATGTGTTGGTCACATATGAGGAGGTGGAAAAACATTGTTTATTTGTTACACTGATGACATAGGTGGTATTAGTCCAAATGGTGCTTTCAAGCTCAAATTTAATAAATGAGGATGTCTATTTCTTGTTGATTTCTTGTTTCATGGTCTCCTGACATTAGAAATTAAATAGATTCATGTCACATATTTTATTAGTTAATGGACTATGGTAGAAACACTGATTGCATTATTTCAAATAATGATGGGTCATCCCTGTGTTGCTACTCCAAATGGCACTTTCAAGTTAAAATTTGACAAAACCTAGTACTAATTCGCATGAAGCGTGTACTCAAATAGTCTTTTTTTAGATGGTAGTTTAATCTCGTTTAGGAAGTTTGCTATATTTTAATTATTGACATTTTTATCCCCTTCTCTTTTTCCTACATTCTAGTAGTGTCATGTGGCATGTTTTTGAAGAAGCATAGTCTATGTGCAAAGCAATTGCATAACCCATTCTTGTAAGTAACATCAACCTATCTCTATCAAGTAATTAATAACCACTGGAGTGGCCATTAATTCCTACCTTGAAAGAAAATATGAAGAATTTGGGAAGTGGGCAGTTACATGTACCATCCATGAGATCATCACCCGTTCATGATGAAGTCATGTACGTCTGCAAAAAGTAACAAAGATCAGAATGCATGCTTATCTTCAGTTTTTTGCAAATGATCCAAATATTTCTGTAAAACATATCTACTGGATAGTTGATGATCCGAAACAGAAAAATCATGCTTACCGCATAATTGAGGGTAAGTAAATTTAAATTATTAACAATCTAGTAAACATAGTCTAGTGGTTTTAATGACTTCTGAGACTTCAAGTTCAGAACTTAGTTGCTCAAATATCTTTAGTTGGTTTCAACTTGGTTTTTGAATTCAGATCCAATTTTAATTTGTAGAGATAAGAAACGAAATATACTGATTTGGATCACATGATTCAGAGTAACTGATCATAGCTCCTACATCAATCCAAGATAGCAACCCAAGCATAAAAAAAGACTCCGTGCAGATAACATCAATTCTAATTATTCTCATGATGAAACTTATTCTCGTTAGGATTTTTTTAAAAATAGACCGATTTTGCTAAATATTTAGCAAAATCGACCTCTTTCTGACCGCCCAGCTGAAAACATACGGGACTACTAGTCCCGTATGTTTTTAAGGGCACTAATCACTAATTAGTGCTCCCAGAAAATATACGGGACTAGTAGTCCCGTATGATTTCTGTGAGCTCTTTGGCGTTCAACAAAACGTACGGGACTAGTAGTCCCATACATAAAACAGAGACTTTTGGCCCAGATCTACGGAACTACTAGTCCCGTAGAAAAGTCGACTATTTAAACAGTTGTGCCCTAAATTTGGGTACAGACACTATTCCCAAACTCATCTCACTCTCGATCTTACTCTCAATCTCTCTTCTCTCTCCCAAACACATCTCACTCCCTTCCAAACCCATTGAACTCTCTCCCAAACCCGTCTCACTCCCTCCCAAACCCATTGAACTCTCTCTCTCAAACCCGATTGCCACACCCCAAACCGATCTCCATCTCTCCCAAACCCATTCTCTCTCTCCCAAATCCAACTCACCCCCTCCTCCCTCAAATCTGACGCCATCTATTATCTCTGACGCCGACGCCGTCTACACTCTCCGACGCCAATGAGATTCGAAATTTCATCAAGGTAACAATTTCATATTTTTTTCATAAATTTCTCAATTTTGTTTAGTTAATACTGTATATCTAGAGGTATATCTAGAGGAAATAATTAATTATGATAATCAATTTGTAAAATATCTAATTTATATACGTCAAATTTTAATTCTTCAGTTAAAATGACGAATGGAATTCCGATTATTTACTTATTCAATGGAAAATTGAGTGTTGGAATGAATAATTTTCCTATATATGACGGAGGCTCTAGAAAAATGTTCATGTTGTCTAGAAATTACAATTTCGATGGAATGGTGGAGCAAATATACAGAGTTACCAGAATTAATCATGCCGAAAATGCTATTAAGGTCTTCTGTAATTGTCCAATAAATGAAAACAGAACAATTGCTGTAGAGATCACCACTGATGAAGAATTGAATGACATGATACAACTTGAGAATAAACAAATCGCAATTGAGTTGTTCATTAAAAATATTCCAAAGTTTGGGGTTATCGAAGTTTCGTATGCTCATGGAGAGTTCTCTCGCATGCTTGAAAGTCAAATCTCGCTATCTCAAAGTGCCTTGCACTTAAAAAAATAACTCAGGTGCAATGTCAAGTGACATGTTTCACAACACATCGGGTCATGTTTCAGTTGATTTATCGGTTAGTGGTTCTATAATAGAAGAGGACGAATATATAGATGTTGATGATGATAGTGAAGATGTTGAGTCCGAAGAGGAACGTCTTGATAGTATGCAGTTCGTAATTGGAGAGAACAATGATGACGCAAGTTGGATAAATGAATATCGCATGAACAGCGATTATGTAGAGTCTGAAAAACCGTTGCCCGAAGAGTTTAAAAATGATGAGTGGATAAATAACTCACAAGCTGAGTTAGTTGAGCCTGGTCCTAATTTCGATCGACCCGAGGATATCACTTTAAAAAAAGGAGATCTATTCAAGAATAAGAAAAGCTTAATTTTTGTTATACGTGAATGGGTAATTAGGAACCGGGTCAAATTCAAGCCGGTGAAATCCAATACAACTAGCTACCATGTAAAGTACTACTTCAATGAGAAATGTCAAGCCGCTTATACAAGTGCTGCATACGATAGAAATTTAAAATGTCCATGGAAGCTTAATGCAGGTGTTAGGAAAAAATCTAACGGGCAATTTATGATCTCAAGTTATTGTGGACTTCATACATGTTGCAATCCGACTATCGCTAATGATCATAAAACAACAACTTTCGCTTATATCATGAAGCTAATTATGCCCGAAGTTAGACGAAAATTTGATCTTACTCCAGGACAGATAATTACAACGGTTCATGCTATGAAAGGCATAATTATATCCAAGTTTAAAGCATATGATGCACGGAGGAAGGCGTTGATTAGAATCTTTGGAGATTGGGAAGAATCTTACCAAAAACTTCCACATTATCTTGCAGATGTTAAGAGAAAAAAACTGGGTACGGAATATGAGATAGCGTCTAAGGAGATCACACCGGAAATAGAGAGGTTCATCGGGTATTTTGGGCATTTGGGCCCGCTATCAAAGGGTTCTCTTTTTTTTGTCCGCTCTTAAGCATCGATGGAACACATTTATATAGCAAATACAAAGGAGTACTCTTGGTTATGACCGGTGTAGATGCAAACGGTGGGCTATTTCCAATAGCTTTCACAGTTATGGAGGTGGAGGATACATTGAGTTGGAAGTGGTTTTTTCAGTGTATTTACAAATACATTCCGACCGTTCAAAGTCCAAGAGTTATTACCTTTATTTCTGACCGAATGAAAGGAATTCTACGAACATTGCATGAGGTGTGGAGTGCACCACATCATCACCGTTATTGCTTGCGGCATATAAGAGCTAATTTTAAGAGAAAACATGGAGAGGTCAATTTACAAAATTTACTGTGGCAAGCCAGGTGTGCCACTGACTCACTTGTATATGAGCATTGTAGAGAGAAAATTAAATCCCTATCAGTTGAAGCACACAATTGGATTGATAAAAACTTGAAGCTGCAATACGAAGATCGATAGGCATTATGTAAAGATGGTGGAGTATGTTATTGTATGATGACGACTAATTGCTCTGAAAGTTTTAATGGTGTGCTTAAGGGTGCCCATGTTATGCCAATTAGTGTCTTAGTTGCAAGGACGTTTTATAGATTGAACGCATACTTTAATAAGAGACGGAGTGATGGTGCAAATTAGACGAGTAAGTACACTCCAAAAAATAAGTTAATGTTGCAGAAAAGGGTTGTGGCTGTAAGAACATGTAGAATTGAACCATTCAACAACAATGAATGGGAGGTCAAGGATCGTGATGGTACTTACACCGTTCATCTCTATGACCAAGAGTGTAGTTGTACTTGTAGCTTACCACAATTACAAAAACTACCATTATGGAGAGGCACGTATCCGATCGTTTGTTTAGACAGTTTGGATTCGCACAGCACGCTCCACAATTGGTCGAACAAGTAGAGAGAAAGGCGTTTAAAGGTGGACATTAGATTAACTGGCAGCGCACGCATCAATCATACATTGCTCGGTAGAATGATTGGTATCAACTTATTATCAATCAACTTTATCCTCCGATGAAGGATGTCGATTATATTAGATGGTATTGGGGGACTACCCGACTTTGGATAATCAACCAAACCGCGCCTCCAGTCGACGAAATCGAGATTCGCAATCAACAATCTCGATATGTACCAAGAGGGTTAGATGAGAGGCGATGGATAAGTAAATTGTGACAATTATAATAGATTTTTTATTCTTTATGTTAGCTTTTGGTTTCTTATATGAAGCAATATTTTTATGTAATTGTAGATAGACGCATTGGACGAGGTAGAGGAGATTACACGTATCGATATTGCAGCAGATAGTGGCGAGAGTTCGTAGAGCTTTTCAACAAACTCATGAGGATCGGCATTATGGTCGTGAGCAGGTGGATCTTAAAGATACTACATATGTACGCCAACGTAGACGTGGTAGATCTTACACGCACGACGATGAAGCTGGTTCGTCACAACAAGCTGGTCCGTCACTACCCCACACACAACCGGAGAGCGAGCATATACAAGCTCAAGATGAAGGAGGCCGCGTGCGAAGACCGAGACAACGGGGGAGGGGTGGATTTTTTTTTCTTTGTTAGTTTTTTCATGTAGATTATATATTGTCGTATGTATTTATTGATGTATTTGGATTTGTTTAGCTTAGACTACATATTATCGTATGGTTAGACTTGATACATTTGGAATTATTTTGTGATGATGTGTATTTTTATAGAATTTTGGATGTGGTGTTGTGTATTTCGTCAGATTATGTGTTGTGATAATGTATTGTGTTGTAATGATGTGTATTTTTTAGATTTGTGTTGTGATGTTCTAATTTTATAACTTTTATCAATGTATACAATGTAGATGATATATTTTAGCAAAAATTTTGGTCATATACAAAGCTAGAGGTATGTGCATGTTTTGTGCATGTTTTGCCTCAGCCCAGCAAACATACGGGACTACTAGTCCTGTATGTTTGCTGGGCTGAGGCAAAATGCCTCTGTTTTATGTACGGGACTACTAGTCTCGTACGTTTTGTTGAACACCAAAGAGCTCCCAAAAATCATACGGGACTACTAGTCCCGTATGTTTTCTGGGAGCACTAATCAGTGATTAGTGCCCTTGAAAACATACGGGACTAGTAGTCCCGTATGTTTTCAGTTGGGCGTTTTTTAAAATCGACATCTTTTTGGCATGTTGGCAAAAAAAGATCGATTTTGCTAAATATTTAGCAAAATCGATCTATTTTTAAAAAATTTCCTTCTCGTTATGATAGATAATGCCGGCGTTGTGGAATCTGTTGAATGTATGACTAATTTTAGTAGACAATTGTGATATATAACAACTTATTATAAAAAAAAGTTGGCTTGTGATTAATGCAAGGAGCACAATTTTGAGTCTTAAGTCACATCTAAAAATTAATTCATGAGAGCTTGTTTCTCTAAGTAAAAGCAAATTACCTCTGAGGTAGACCCTGAATCATTTGATTTGATCATCTCAAGAGTGAACTCTAACTTTACCCACATGTAGTTGAATTTTTGTCATCTTAATTTTAGGCTATAATTTTTATTTTGAATGAAAAATAAAAAAATTACAATTAATTATTTTTAAAATGAAAAGAACTATATAATTTAGAGGACTCCAATTTTTATTTGCCTCCAAATCTATTAAATTTGTCTTTCCATACCCTTAACTATATTCAACCTCATCTTATTCACTGTACTACCGAATTCATCTATATTTACCCTTTGAACGATGCTCAATTCCATCTTACTGCTGAATTATTATTTTCCTCTCATAAATTGATCTAAAATATCCATAAAATAAATAAATGTAAAGTAATCACTAAATATTGAAGTGAAGTGATAGTTCAATAGGATAAAGTGAAACTAAAAATAGTTAAGGGGATAAGTAAGAATGGGTTTAATAGTTTAGTAGGCAAAATGATATTGCAAATGGATCATAGTATGTGCAATAGTCCAAAAGACAACTAGGTTGTGAATCCAATTTAGAAATATTAAATGCCTATGCGCATACTCTTTGATGAGGAGGGAAATCTTGGTAGTCTAAAATTAAGAGATTTCTTGGGCTATGGACCTTATTGTCCTTGCACTGGCTTAAGAAACTAATAATTTGTACAACTAAGATCCAAGGTTAAATATATTTTAAGAAGAGCATACATCTGCAAATGTACAGTTTTCTAGGGCCTGAATCAAAAGGTTTTTGTTCTTTCTAAAGCTTGACAACAAAAACTGCTCTTCCCTCTAACCTTTGATCAGAGACCCCTTTGGGAGCCGCACCATCACCCACCCCACGTACCCTTTTTTCGAATTCTTAGGATAATATTAGTTTACTGCTGAAGTTTTATTCAAAAGAGAAAGAGAAAAGAAGCAAAAATTTTATTTTAAAAAAAAAAAAACCTTTGCCAGCCCTGTGAGTCTCTTCTAGGCTGTGACTCGCTTCTAGGGTTTGTCTCTGACCTCAGAAAAGAACCAGGAGATCCCCAAACTCACTAGAGGTAGGCGACCGGTTTCTTTGCTTAAATCTTTCTTCAAAAAGCAGTTGAATGAAATCAAGCATTTAGTCGTTTATAAAGATTGAGTATGTTTTGGGTATATACTCGAAGAGAGCACAAGCAAGAGATTTTCCCTTTCTTTTATCTTCTTCTACCTCAGTGACTTGGATTTCCTCTTTATCTTCTTAAAATACAGAGTTTTTTTTATTGCCCATGATCTGTATCGAAAAAAGTTTGAATTTTTAGTTTGCCCATTTCGTAATACTACTCTGATGCTCTAAAAGTTTGAATCTTTATCCTGCCCGACTCCTCTAATGGCCTCGGTAACCTTTCAACCCTGAGAAAGTATGAATTTTTGGATTGCCCATGTCCTCAGATGACTTGTTTATGCTCCCGTGACAAGCAAACAGATGGTAAATTTAGCTTCCCCCTCCCCTGAAACAACTTGGGTTCTCCCCCAAATCAATACCATCAATGGAGTTTTGCAAAGAGATTCACTTCCTTTGCAAACATCTCAGCCTCCACCAGCTCCATCCTCATCCAATAGCAGTAGAATTAGCCCAGCAATCCTCTTCATCATAGTAATCTTAGCTGTCATCTTCTTTGTTTCTGGTCTCCTCCATCTTTTAGTCAGATTCATAATAAGAAAAAACCCATCTTCTTCTTCCCATTCCAATCACCACAATCAAGAAACCACTAACTCAGATGCCCTCCAAAGACAACTACAGCAGCTCTTCCACCTTCATGACTCCGGCCTTGATCAAGCCTTCATTGATGCACTCCCCATCTTCCTCTATCGAGAGATTGTCGGTTCAAAAGAGCCCTTTGATTGCGCTGTCTGCCTCTGTGAGTTCTCCCAAGACGACAAGCTCCGTCTTCTTCCGATTTGTGGCCATGCTTTCCATCTCAATTGCATTGATACTTGGCTTTTGTCGAACTCTACTTGCCCTTTGTGTAGAGGAGCACTATTTGTACAGGGAGCTGCAATTGAGAATCCGATATTTGATTTCGAAGAGGAGCTAAGGTTGGAAGAGGGTCGAATTGGGGAGGTGGAGGAGATTGGTAGTGAGAAGAAAGTAGTCCCTGTGAGACTTGGAAAGTTTCGAAACACGGGCAACAAAAATGATAATGTTGGTGCTCTTGACACAAATACTGATGGAAATAATATAATTAGGAGAGAAGAAGGGGAGAGTAGCAGTAGCAATTTGGATGCAAGGAGATGTTACTCAATGGGATCTTATCAGTATGTTGTTGGAGATGCTAATCTTCGAGTGGCATTGAGTATTGGAGATCAAAATGGTGCCAGAGCAAAGGGCTTTGTGGGGAATACCATAGCTATTGATAATGAGGAAGGGAAGAGGATCGGTGCTAGGAGCAAAGGCGAGAGCTTTTCTGTGTCAAAGATTTGGTTATGGGGCAACAAGGGTAAATTTCCTACTCCCTCTGATACTTCTCTTGATGGTCCGTTGCCATGGATGATGGCTAGAAAAAGTGAAGGGAATACATGAAGCACGTCTGTTCTTTTACTTTTGGAAAGTATATGGTTTTGTTTCATGGTTTTAATGGCGGTTATTTAAATTTTATCAAATTAAATTCATACCTTTTACTCTTGTATTGCCTCTTATTTGTTTTTAGCTTGCATTGTCCTTGTGAATTTCTCAAGCTCTGGTGTGCCTGATGGATGAATGGTAGATAGAGTCTTTGGATGAAGAAGATTTAGAGTCTAATTAGGGGCTTGTATGATATGTAGTGTTCCTCAACTGCTAAGTTTTCTCAATTAATGATAAGAGTATGAACAAAGTGCCATTCTATTACTAATGTAGAGAAAAATAGTATTTCTTGTCATATACTCGGTGTTAATCCTCTAACAAAGACATGGCCTTGAATATTGTTGTATGATAATTTGACGCCTTTGGCTTTTTACTGTTATTTCTTGCCATCCCCTTTGCAGATATATTTTCATTCTTAAAGAATCAATATCCTTGTGTTTGCAGGTTCGTGCTGTTTTCTCTTTTTTCCACTTTTCCCTTTTCCTGTTTATTTATTTTCATTGTGAGTGTTTTCACTATTTTAAGAGGCTTTACTATTATGATATATTATATTTCATATTGAAATGAGCTTGGAGCATAGAAATTGACCTAAGCATCCCTGCATCCCTTTTCTTCTTCTAAAGCTTTCATTCAACCTCCTCTTCCTATGCTTGATGTTTGAGACCTTTGTTTTCCACTGTTTTTAATGGTCTTCATAGGCCAAAACATCTTTTTGTGGGAAATGATGTTCAACCACAGAACAAATTTTATGAAAACCGCTGCTCAACCATAGGGTTTATAATAAACAGGGCCTTTTGTCTTAAGCCTGTTGAATTATTGAGAACCTCTCTTCTTTCATGATAATAGCTTCTCGCTTAGATTGAGATAATGATAGCGGTGTCATATTTAAAAAGTGAGAAAACGGATTCTTGTGATGAGAGCTTTGCTTGCTAGAGGTTTATCTACTATTAATGATGTATCGAAAGGATATGTGACATTCCATTAGTGAACTTAGGTATTCCTACACTAGCTCAAGGATAAGTATTCATTCTGTGGTCATCAATATATTGGACCGAGATCAGTGTATACTTTCTCCTATAATGGATGAACTAGTCCTCTATATTTTCGAACCGTTGGAAAGTAGCCTAATAATTCAAACTTTTAGAAAAGGTTTATCTACTATTATTGTATTCAATAGGCATCCTAAGGCAAATGTGTCTTTGATTTACAATACGCAATCGTTCAAACCGCAATAAAAGGATAATGGAGGCAAACTTAAGTGCATGACAAGTGTGAATAATAAACGACCCAAATTTGTTTCCAGGATCGCTCAATTTCGATCCCCCACTATCTGCGTACTCATAATTGCAATGAATTTCGTGGATAGCCTGTCATTTTCCACTAGGTAGAAAAGCCAAGGATTGGTGTATGCCTTTTTGCAAACTTTAGTCTTGATCATATACCTGAGCGCAACTTCACCCTATTTCAAGTGCCCCCTTCAAATTTTGAATTCATCAGCTTGTAGAGAATTCTCTTTAGGCTAAGTAGCACCTAAATACCTTATAGAGTTTTAGTTTCCCCTAATTTGCATTTACGTGCCCTCACTTGTTTTTGGCATCACCTTTGTGCCCTGAAGTTTCTAGAAAGTCACACTTTAATACCTTATATTTTGTGAATGTGAGAATTTTCCCTGAATTTTAGCGTGTGCCAGTCACAAGCTAATTTTAAGACTTTTAGCCCTTAACATAATTTGTTGAATTTACTGTTAAACTTGCCATAATAATATTTTGAAATCTAATAATTGAGGTAGGTTTAAAATAGAATTAAGCTATGTTTAATCAACAAAACATTAAGAACTAAAAGGTATAAAACTAGCTGACTGTCACATGGAAAAAATCTGAAGGAAATTCTCACGTTTGTATAAAAGAAGTTATTGAAGGGTAAATTTTAAGAACTTCAAGCTATATAGTCAGCCAAAAACAAGTGAGGATGTTAAAGTGCGCAGTAGGGAAACTATAGGTATTTAAGTGCTATTTACCCTTATCTTTATCTTTTTATGCTTTTTCCCCCCTTCTTTTTCTAAAGTCACTTCTTTTGTGCGCCATATCTGCTTATCTTTTCCTCTTCAGCCTTTTTATCACCTCCTGTGCTTTTGTGCTTGTGGAATCTTCAGAGTGCTTTCACAAATATTAGGTAAAAAGAGAGCTTGGCAGCAGAAAGCAAGTGCATGAGCATTTGGAGGAAACCCAGCTCTCCTATTAAAGTTCGTGCGGAGAATATTCAGCCAGAATTGACTTGGTCATGTTATGAATTTGGTCGGATCTAACGAATGCCATTGAAGTCTGATTCTGATCTGACAATGTTAAGGTGTACCTGCTTACAAATTCTAAGCCAGGCATCATATAGCTGGATAGCATAAACTCGCTTGCAATGTTACTTGCATTGATGGTCCACTATAGTCGTACGCATCACCAGGTCCATAGATCTATGGATGATTCAAATGTTTTGATATCTCTCAAATAAGTGTGCATTTGGTCCAGATAAGGTTCGGATATGATACTTACATATCCATATCCGTTTACACGTATCGGATACAAAAATATCTCGGTAATAAAAATTCATATCCATATCCGCTAAAATTAGATACAGATATACATGCAGATATATAAATAGATTTGCGAATATGCATGTGGATACAAAATGGATATGAGAAAACATGATAGTATTGAAAAAAATATAGTTCATGTGATACAAAAGAGTTCATTGATATATGCATTATATCTGAAAAGCTAATACTAGACATCTTGATCATCAAAATTAACCTCATATCCATAATCTAAAGATTAAAATCTAAAGGTTAAAACTATCGTAACAATGTGATTAATATGTATTCATATATTTTGGATACGGATTTGGATATTTCATTGCAAAATCATATCCGTAATCATATCCTATTGGTTATAAATTTGAGTAACCATAACTATATCTTGATGGATACGGTTACATATATTTTTTCGGATACGGATACGGATACAATCTAAAGATTAAAACTATCGTAACAGTATGATTATGTATTCATATATTTTGGATACGGATTTGGATATTTTATTACAAAATCATATCCGTAATCATATCCTATCAGTTATAAATTTGAGTAACCGTAACTATATCTTGATGGATACGGTTACGTATATTTTTCGGATACGGATACATATACGGTTTAGCATCTCTACTCTCAAAATGTTTACATGTTCGGAAACTCAATAATTTAAATCTGATAAAGATCTGACTTGCAAAATTGATACGAAATAGTAGATCATTGCCTAGACGTAGAGTTATTTCATGAGAAATAAACAAGATCACATTCTCTAGAAAATTTATTATTTATCCAAAAGATCCATAACGTCTGCCTATCTCAATCGTTCTTATTAAATTAGGCTAGCACATTGTGTTTAAGTTTGTTGATTGTTGCTGTTATATTTATTTTTTGAATATTATTTATCTTGTATTTTATGATTTATATGGTCGGGTTGCTGCTCCGAAAAAGTTTCTCTTGCGCTGTGTACAATTTTTACATGGATGCTCTAGGTTCGGGCAACGGTTTATTTCTGTATGGGCCTACTATGCTCCTTTTTTAAAGCTTACAACACATGTTATGGGCCTATATTCATACGAGGTCTGCTTTAATGCAGCCACTTATGAGGGCAGACGGGAAGAAACCAAAGTGCACCGCATAAATGTCCGCATGGATCCGAGCAGTTGGTTGTGAAACGCACAATGGAAGAATAAATTATTATTTTGTCTCTTCTATTTATTCCAAGTTTGATTCAGAACTGTCTGCTTGCGTGGGGGCAACTCTAATAAAATCCGCACTTAGAAGAAATGGCACCGAATGAAAATTTGGAATGATCTTGGGAGTTTAAATTTGATGAAAATATCCAGTTATTTTCCTTCATTACGTTAATTATGCAGTAAAAGATACCAACCTTTTAAGGTCAATCTATAAATTTCTAGGCCAATAATCCAATAATTGATATCTCTGCTATATCATTATACAAAGAATCAAAACTGTTACATACTTTCTCCTACTTTTGTTGGTTAGGAGTAATTACTGGGTAGAGATCTCCTACGTTCTTAGTTTTGAGAATTTTACAATTGAATATAGGAAATTTCTATTAGTAATAAATATAAAGGAGATAAAATCTAAGATGTGAAATGTACTTTCTTTAAAGAAATATTTGCTCTGCTTAGTAATCCATGTTTGCTCCAAGTTAAGCGACAATTAATTACGTGGATTAATAATATTGATTGATACTTGATGGGACTCAAACGCTATCATACGAATACGTAGACTTCGTCTTTCTCACGGGAATAGACTACCCGGCGACGCGTGTTAGGCGTTGACTTTGGGGTTTTTGGCTAACCCCCAGCCTTCAACGGGTTTGATTAGCCTTTACCGACTACCGTTTGAGTCGGGCTAGCATGCGAATTGTCTAAATCCGTTCCGCATGTAACGTTGTGCTAAGAGAGTGAATTCTCTGAGACTTTGTGCTATGATGTTGAATACATAGGCTTCGCCATTGTTACGGGAATAGGCTACCCGGCAACACGTATTAGATGTTGACTTTATCCCTACTTAGGCTTCGGGATAAAATACCCCAGAATCGAACTCTGGTGTCTTTTTCAATCGGTAAAAGACTAAACCGGCAACACATGTTAGGTGTCGACATATCCTTTCTTAGGATTCAGGATGACATTCCCCATGCGTGTAAGGCATGGATTTTGGTGTTATTAATAACAACCTGCCATAATGTTGAATATGTGGACGGATGTTCTTTTTTAGCGGTTAAGAACTAATCGGCAGCGCGGGTTAAGCGCAGACTTATCCTTGCTTAGGTTTCAGGATAGAATACCCTAGAATCGAACTCTGGTGTCTTTTTGTACGGAAAAAGACTAAACCGGCGACGCGTGTTAGGCGTTGACTTATCCCTACTTAGGATTCGGGATAAACTTCCTAGGATGAATCCTGAATTCTTCGAAAAGGATTGGTATGGGGAAGGAAGAATTTTATATTCTATTCCCCGAACAAAGAAGGAAAGGAGACTCGAGGTGGGATCTCCACCCCCAGAATCCGGAAAGGTGAAACCAAGAGTGGGATCTCCACTCTGAGATTCAAAAAGATTCAGATAACCCTAACTGTCGGAAGGTTTGATTACCGAACTAAAGATGAATTTCTCGTTTATCGAGAATGAATTGTGGTTTTGGTCCTAACTGTAGGAAGGTTT